AACAACTAATTGTCGATAGATGGAAACATTGACATTTAAACAATTATACAAGAATCTATCAACAAAGAAAAGAAATAATAACCATCCGCTCAGATTAGTCTAATTCTCACTGCCCTAGCCGGACCACCGATGACACATCTGGAGTGTCATACTGCAAAACTTAAGGTCACCTGATAAAATTCCCACACCCAATGGGGATATAATGACTGTGCATCCGATCAACATCTGCACAATGCAAAGCTCTGCCCCTTATAACAAAGGCCTACCATACTGCCCCAACTGTTAGTTTGCAGGTGATAGCTAAAAAACCTCCAATTGAAAAGATCATTGACGTCTTTCACAAGCAATGGATACTTAAATGGGGACACGACAGTGATATTAACCCCTCCCGCAGCATCTGTGCCAAAGATGTGGAAGAGATCATTCCTTTCTATCTTGTTCTGTACCCAGGTCAACATAATCTGATTAATTTCAATGCCAACATAAATACCAAAATTGAAGTTTTCACAGATGGCTCCAAAATGGACAGTCATGTTGGATGCAATTTTGTGGCCTACTGTGATGGAAACAAAATCTTCCACAGGCAACTTTGACTTGCTGACCACTGAGCCAAGCTTTTTGCCATCAACTATGCCCTCCACTGGTGTAATCATAATTACAAAAACCATAACATTAATATTATAACAGACAGCCAGGCAGCTATTGCGATTATTAAAAGCAAGCAACCTCACGAACTGGTAACTGACATCTACAGTACTGCTAAAGCATCCTCAAACAGCTACTCTTTAACCTGGACCCATATGTTCACCAGGGTAATCCTGGGAATGAGAGAGCCAATATTCTAGCCAAATCTGTCTCCAACACTCAATTATCTCTACCACTTACAATAAAATTAGTAAATCCATTCTTAAAAACTTACTTTGGAATAACCTACTACATGAATGGCAAAACACCTGGAATACTCGGCAATCTATCACTAATAAATTCTTCCCCATCATAACTGATTTATTCCATTATAAGTGGATCAAAATTAACCATCACAGCATCCAATATTATACCGATCATGGCAATTTCATTAATTACTTAAATAGGTTTGTCTCTCACCCTACTAATACCTGTCCTCTCTGTGACATTCAGGATGGGGCTACTCACTATATTTTTGACTGCCCAATGCTTGAGGCTGAACAGCTACAACTTAAAACCATCATTAACTCTAGAGCCATCCAATGGCCATGCAGCCTCAACTGGTTAATGTAATAGATCCAGATTGGGCAAAAAATTGCATTGCTCTAGATGTAAAGTCAATATTGGAACATAAGACAAATCTTTTGATCTTATCTGAAACTAATAGTCTCAGGTTCCCATTGTGAAGGAATTGCTTCACCAATCTACAGTTTCTGTTAATAACATTTGAGTTTTCTTGACATTAATAAGATGCTGAATTGGAAGAATGAAGTTCAGATATAGCTATTATTTGTTATTTGTTATATTTGTTATTTCCAAACTGGGTTGAAGGTGCTGACAACTTTTTGCTGCTGCCATAATGGGAAGAATCAATTGAGCTATGGAAATATTCACTGACAGAATGTACAGCACTTAGACCCATATTGTAGAAAGCGACGGATATTGTCCAGGACTTTAAAATTAGAGTAGTTGTGGTACTGTATCTTGCGAGAATGTTTTGAATTGTGGCTGGAAGATCTTAGGAACCAGAGAAATTTTTTCTTCATTTTTTCTTTTGCCATTTGATTATACAAACACATGGGATCACAATTTGAAAGTGAAGAAAGACCATATGGGAAAGTTTACAAGAGGCTACCACTTTCCTTTTTGCTCTGATAGCTATCAACTCGTGTTCCACTTCTGGAAGAACCGTTCTGATACATAAGATGGAAAGAAGATATATTTAAGCAAGAATCATTTAGGTACTAGACCATGTTTGTGACAATGTAACAGGAAGGTTACACTGATTGAGCCACTTGATTCTTGATTTTATTGAGAAAAATTGTTGTTTTGCAGTTTCCATGATTGTAAAACTTTATATGTTCAAATATGACACCAAATATATTATAAGAAAGAAATTGTATTGTCTTTCAGCATTATTGTTTAATACCAAACCCATCCCACATATTTCTTGGAAAGGACCTAGCCACCTTTTTTAAGACATTAATCTTGCATTTTATTGATAGTTCAGTCATCTCTTCAACATTGGAATCCAAATCAAGAATAATCAAAATCGTAGGAACATTCTCACCTGAAACATGCCAATTTTGTAAAATTGATGTTATCTCATTATATCCATCTGTACCACACTTTGATCTGGTAATGCTTGCTAATATACTTTTACTACAAAAATCCTACACAATTAAATAGGTGTTTAGCATTTGGGAAGGCATCCTTCTAATAACAGCACAATTATTTCCAGTTCAGTGGTCAATATTTTTTGCAAAAGTGTGGTGTCCCCATGAGCTCATCTCTTTTGGCAATTCTAGCCAAGTTGATCATGAAAAATATCAAATTCAGTCTTCTCTTCACCACCTTCTATTATCAATGTATATAAAGTATAAAATAGATATCTTAATAGCTTGAGAATTGTCAACTTTTGTTAAATTCCTGTCAGACGTTTACCCTCCATCTCATTCTCTGTGGGAAAGAACAAGACAGAAAAAAAAGTAAATGTTCCCCCCTTCCCCCCAGAGATGGAGAGTTGAAATCAAGAATAGAATCTTTTTATGGGAGTCAGAAAACTTAGACTCTTAACTCCTTACAACATGTGGATCTTTAAAATATTTTAAAGCCTGTTCAGTGGTTTAGACGTGAAAAGGTAACAGACAGAATTACCTTTAAATTTATAATATTAGTATGGATTAATATGAATTTCTGCTATAAGGGGTACATGAGTTTGAGCTCTTTCTTGAAGTGGTACGCAGGAAAAACTAACTGGGAACCACTGGTCTAAACATAACTTGATTTGAGAGAGTTTACAAAGAATTGTAATTACTACCTGTTCATATACATCTGAGATGGTAGAATCAAGAATATTTAAAACCATCTGGAAGTTGAAAACTGGGATATATATTGGCTGAAGACTTGGACAATTGGCAAGGGTGCCAAACAACTGGAGCATGGCTAAACCAGAACTAGAGCTAGAGCACTGTTTGAAGGTTAGTGAGCTTTCACGTTTTATACTCAATGGACCATCGACAGTATTGCTCAAACATCATGACATGCTTCCAACATGAGGAGGAAGCTAGGCAGTTTCTTGGCCGATTGTTAAGTCAGACATCATACTCAACTATTGTTTTGGGAGGAACTACATCATTAATCTTCATGGCTCAAAGGAAGTGCTTTCTTTCGCAAAGATAAAAATCATTTCAAATCAACTTGATAGAAAATAATGTAAAATATTAATTTAATTTAATAAATTCATAAAAATATGTCTCCTCAACTCCATATATTATATTATATATTATATATAACACATATATTATATTATATATATTTATATANTTAGCCCTTAATAATTATTATTATTAATATGTACTTTATTAATTTACAAAATCATAATAATAAAAGGGTGAAAAGTTTTAAAAATTAAAATGTAATTCAAATGTTATGTATGCTCTGCCTGAAGATGACAATTTGAAATGTCAAAAGTACTTGTTTGTAGTTAAAAACTTTTCAAGTAAACAATTTTAATTCTGAAAGACATTGTAGTTTATTCTTATTCTAAGTTTTATGCCGTTAATGAACAATTTTTAGATACATTGGTTACTGACACTATACTATGACAACAATAATTATTGCTATTTATCAAAATTTATCAATTATTGATATATCAAATGAATCTTGATATCAAGCCCAATATCGGTACAAATATTAAAATTTTGTTTTAAGAAAGCCATACATTATAACTAAATTTCATTAGGAAGTAAACAAGTTGTTGAGAACAATTTTAAAATTAGATCATTCTCCATATAATTACATTTCTTTGAAAAATTACTTTAATGGAGAAACCAAAAAATTTTCTAAAGAACAATTTGTTTGATTTTAGCAATCTTATAAATACAGTTCTTAAGTTATACTATTTCAAGACATAGTCAGTGCATTTGCAATTAATTAACGATATTTAAAAGAAATGAATAAAACAAAATAACAACTTAAGTCTAATTATTAGGAAGGTAATTCTTAATTTGAAAACTTTATGTTTTGTTTTTGCAGTTTTATAAGTGCTGAAATAGAAGATATGATTGTCATAAAGGATCTCTGTTGGAAATAAGCTACCCTTAAATGGGTACAACAAAACTCAGCATTTATGGCTATATTCTGATTCTTGAATGTCTGGAGATCATTTTGAGTTCCAAACCAAACTTAATAGATAATATATTTTAGTCTATGAGATCAAAATGAATCTTTCCTCTAAAAAAATCTAAATTATTAATTAATTATAAATTATGTAATAAAATGCACGCTCATATATAATTACTATAATTTAAATAAAAATTAATTATAATATTTATGAAAGTTTCCATGAGATAACAAATAAAACCTGCAAATTAAATTTTTTCCAAAAGAAATTAATAGGTAAAATTGACCTGAAATTTACCAAAAATCTAATATATTAAAAGATAAGGTAGAAATGAGAAAAAAAAATGTAATAAAAATGTACAAATAACATTTACTTTAATTTGTTTAAAAATTTTATAATAAATAATTATTGTCACATATATTACATTTTATAAAAGTTAATTCAAAAGTTATAATCTGAATATAACTAAATCTATTCTTTATAATAACATGTACATAATTATCAATAGTTAAATATCCAAATTAAAAAAATCAGATAAACCTGTTAAGTTTCAAATTACTACTACAGATAATTATTTAGTTACTGAAAATTTTCTATCATTTATACATGAATATATCAAATGAAAAAACTGATATTAAAAAATTATATTGGAAACTAAATTAGTTTTAATTTATTACTTAAATTTTAGTACCTGCAATGAACAACAGTTGGGCCTTTAGAAACTTTATTATCACGACGAAATGCTTCTACTTCAAGAGCCATAGACAACAATTGTTTAGCAGTACTTGGAGCTTTATGATCAGGCCAAGCTGTATACCAGAAATGAAGAACTTGATGCATTTCTTCCTCATGCTTAAGATATTTAAAAACATATTTATTTTTAATCAAAAAGCATCTTAACTAATTCTTTTCAAAAAATCTGATAAAATAAGGAACAATTAATTAATCTAATAAAAATTTCATCAAAAATAATGAAATTATTTCTATTATTACTGATTCAATGATCACATTAATTAGAACAATATGCAACTTTGATTTCAATAATTATTAAAAATCTACTTATAATAATTACTGAACAACTTTCATAAACTGGCAAAATTTTATCACATGTTTGTTTATTCTTACAAAGCCATTATTAAAATCAAAATATAAAATTCAAATAAAACAAACAAAAAATAAATTGCTTTACACTTTTAATAAGCTTAGATTTAAAAATAATTACTTTAATTAAGATAAACATTTTTACAACTTTATGTTTAGATCCATAACAAACTCTAAGTTGGCATCATAAAGTGATAATACTAAAAATTATAATGGTTGATATCTGAACTTTTTGCACCAATTACTCAATTTACATGTAATACATTTCTCACTTAACAGTATTAACTGGCTGAATATCAAGTAATGTTTAAAAGTACAGGGTATCCCAAATTAAACTTGACATTTTCCAAATGGCTATAGCAAAAACAATTCATCAGAAAATCATGAAAGTTTGGTAATGCCTTAATGACATGATGGGAATTTTTTCTACAGCGAAAAATTAGTTCTAAAAACCACAACTAGAGGGTGCTTTTCAAGCTGAAATAGTAGCATATTGGTCTGCAAGATCCCCAGACTTGAATCCATGTAATTTTTGGCTCTTAAGCTATCTCAAAGACTTGGTCTACCATGATCCCATAACATTGCTGTCAGACCTGAAGGACAGCATAGCATAGCATGCCATGTACTGTACATAACATTCCAAGGGATACACTGCATGCAACTGTTGAACAAGCTGTTTTACACTTTCAGATAGTAGCAGACAATAGTGGCCATCATGTTTTGAATATGTTTTGTTCACATTAGACAGATAACAATGACCTACATAAATTACGTTCTGTATAAAGCTATAACATGTCCTCTATTGGTGTTTTTGGTACTAAATACTTTTGTTCTAGAAAAACTTCCCAAACTTTCATTACTTTCTGATGATTAGTTTTTGCTGTAACCAGTTGGGAAATGTCAAGTTTAATTTGGGACACCCTATACATTTATATTGTGAAAACATACTAAAAACTAAAAAAAATTTGGAGGGTCAAATTTAACACAATTCCAATACTTTCCCTTTTTGAGATGTAATTTTAGAAAATTGTAGAAAATTGATTAAATATCTTTAAATCTATAAATTCCCACTGTCGGACAGACAGACGGATGACAGTGGGAATTTATAGGTCTACAATTCTTTAATCTCAAAACAGAGTTAGATAGATGAAAGCCAAGACCATTTATGGAAAGATTAGAGCAGTGAACCCTGATTAACTATATATGAACTTCCAATGGAAACTGGAAGCAATGTTATTTCAATTCAAAAATATTCCCCTGAAAGGAGTTAGATAAATGACTGGATAACTCTATTGCTAACAGAGAAATTATGTATTTTACACTAGAGAACCTTAAAAGTCCAGCAATAACACTTTAATGAAAAACTAACATTTTCAACCATACTCCGGTCTTCCTCAGGTTTTTAAAACCAGTAAGATTTGAACTTGGAATGCAAAGAATAATATTTACAAATTATTTTAAAAAATCCTGTGGAACATATGGAACAACACAACATGTTCAAATATTATATTGTTTAAAATCTATGAAACAATCTAAGCACATGTATAAAACTTTTATCCATGCATGTTATCATGGCAATAGAACTATATCAATACCATAAACAGTGAATAATACAATGTAAATAAAGATATAAAAAAAGATTGCTAACTGCTGGTGTTGCCTGTTTTTTCATAACAGTACCTCCATACTTAGGAAACATTAATGGCATCATTTGTGTTAATACAGTTGCCATGTAAGCCAGCTTTGTAAATTTCTAATGCCTCAAGGTTTCAAAGGTGTTCAATTATGTATCATTATTTATCCCTGAAAACTCTTTGAACACTTTCTGTTATAAGATCACAGCCTTCCACGTGCTAATGAGAAGAGCATACATGCACCATATCAGATGGGAGGAAACCATGGCAGAGTTGAAATGCATTCAGAACATAGCTGTAAGGCACAGGTATATCAGAGCTATAACTAGGCAGGTGCAACAGGTGCATTCGCACAGGGCCCACTTGGAAGGGGGGCCCAAACTGCTGTTCACAAGAAATTATATTTTTAAATCTTAAATTTTTCTTCCTTTTTATTGGCGATTACATTTTGCCTTATTTAGACCCTAGATATCTGCTCACCAGTGTTTCCAACCATGGCAACTTTTAGTAGGATATAGCAAGATAGCAGAGCCCGCAGACAAATCAGCCAAAAGTAGCGACTTTTCAAATTTTGTTTATTTATTTCTTGAGAAATTTAAATTTATGTTTATAGTTTTCAAATTTATAGATTTTTCTCTATTTTATAGCACGACTAATATTATTACGATATACAAAACTGTATTTCTAGATTTTTCTACAGTGTGCAGAGCTAGAAATCTGTAAAGGTAACATTTTGTAAAAAAATAAATCTGCCCAAGGATTTTTTTAATTGCTAAATTGCTAAATAGAAAACATGGTAACTTGTGATTAAAATCTTAGTCTTGAGGTTGTAAGAGGCGTTCAGAAATTCTGACGTAATTTTTGCTTTATAGTGGTATGCATGTGTTGTATACCTCAATGGTGGATTAAGCAGTAAGTGGACTATGCGGCCAAGTAGGGCCTCGAAGGGCCCCCGAGGTCTTTAAAATGCTATTGAAAAAAGGCTGATTTTTGCTTTCTCTGTGGCTCTTCTTTACAATACATGAGTGTTGCTGATTTTAAAAAAAATCAGCTGCACTATTAAATATAGCAAAAATTTAAAAAAGTACAAATTCACAAGTGAAATTGAAAGTTTTAATTTTGAAGTAACAACTCTTATACTAAATATAGAAACTGTATCTCCACTTAATATTCTACAGGCTCTTCATGATTTTGGTTTAATTGAGTCTCGCCCAAATATCAATGTTGCTCTTCGAATATTTCTAACTCTTCCCGTTTCTATTGCTTCGTGCGAGAGAAGTTTTAGCAAGTTAAAATTAATAAAAAATTTATTAAGATTAACTATCAGGGAAGAACAATTGTGCAATATTTCTATTATTTCAATAGAATACATTATCATTACAAATATTAATTATGATCATGTAATTAATGAATTTGCTGAAATGAAAGCCAGAAAAGTTCAATTAAAATAAATCTTATTAAAAATCTACAGTATTGTAATATATTTGTTTTATTATTTTCCCAAACCAAATAAATTAAGGGGCCTAAATGCAAATTCTTGCACAGGGCACAGGAATGGCTAGTTACAGCTCTGGGGCCTGATACACATCTTATCATGTGCATACTCCAAACAACTAGCCACGCATAACATATCCAACACACAGGTAGTGCACAATGGAACCCAAGACCACAATAATAGCCAATCACGCACATTGGTGGAATACAACCAGCATCTAAGCACCATCTACAAAGAAATTGCTACCTGTACAAACATAAAGATTGCCTATAGGAGATCCAACATGGTATATAGGCTATTGCGCAACAGCAAGGACAGGATCAACACTGGATATATCAACACTGGATCGGGCACTGGATATATATGTGGTTCCCCTCATAGACAACAGATTTCAAAGGGATTTAGTATACATTAGGTCCACAAAGCATTCTCTAAGTAAAAAATTACAGGAGCACAGATATGATATCACTAACAAAATGCACACACTGCCCTATCCACCTATGCCACAGACCCCGACATACGAGCTGACCACTATAAAGCCAAACTGGTCAGATTGTCACATCGAATTGAACACCTTCAACATTAGAAATTTACAAAGCATCTTACATGACAACTGTATTAACACAAATGATGCCATTAATGTTTCCTAAGTATGGAGGTACTGTTATGAAAAAACAGGCAACACCAGCAGTTAGCAAGCTTTTTCTGTATCTTTATTTACATTGTATTATTCACTGTTTATAGTATTGATATAGTTCTGTTGCCATGGTAACATGCATGGATAAAAGTTTTATACATGTGCTTAGATTGTTCCATAGATTTTAAACAATATAATATTTGAACATGGTGTGTTGTTCCATACGTTCCATAGGTTTTTTAAAAATAATCTGTAAATATTGTTCTTTGCATTCCAAGTTCAAATCTTACTGGTTTTAAAAACCTGAGGAAGACCGGGATATGGTTGAAAATGTTAGTTTTCCATTAAAGTGTTATTATTGGACTTTTAAGGTTCTCGAGTGTAAAGTATATGCATTCCAGTAATTATCTAGAAGTTGGTTTAGAGAAATTATGATGTACAGAGGCAAGACACTACTAATATGAGGCGGGAGCATATATTTTAAATGAAATAAATTTAAAAAATATGATTAAAAATTGCAGCCCGGCATTGTGATAAGGTCACAATAAATAATTGCTCATTATGTGTACATAACACCAGGAAACTAAAATGCTAGAATTATTTTTGTATATTTATATTCAAATTTATGTAACATTTTAAGGTTGAACACTATTTTAGCATGTTTTTCAGTTACTAAATATAAATGAATCATCTTCACTCTAGCATTGAACCAAAACTACCTTTGATTTGATGAAATATGGCAGTGTAACATATGGGCAATCTGATAAAGTGGATTCCTCCCAGAACTTTCTGTGAGAAACTGGCCTATAGGTGTTAGATGCATGAAGAAATCCTGGAATATGCATTGCAGCCAGTTCACTAGTCAGGTGCCAATCTGCAACTGAGTACTGGTGTGCTGTGCATTTTCTAAAGATAAAGATTTAGTCCAACAGTGACCACTTGATCACTGTTGGACTAAATCTTTATCTTTAGAAAATGTTTTTGGGTTCATTCATAACCTTTCCATAGGCTTTACAGATCAAACCCTAAAAAAGAATTATTAATATATCCTTTTTCAGGATCTTTACCTGCCATTTTTTACTAGGGTTATTACCTTACCATTAAAACTCTACTCAAAACTTTCCAAAACTGGTATATATTAATTTAAACACATACAAGACACCTACACCAACATACTTCAAATTATAATTTTAGTAATGTTTTCATCTGTATAATAGACATCTTCAAGTATATATAACATAGAATAAAATGGATAAATTAAAATCAAACAAGGTTTAACAAACACATTATAAATTCCTTGAATTAGTAATTTGAGGTATGCTGGCATAGGTGTCTTGTATGTGTTTAAAACATTTTACATTTAGCTTTCAGATGAAAGCTAAAGAGTTTTAATGCCAGAGTGAATAAAAGTTGTTTTGGATGAGTGATACATGTAGCAATAACATTTTAAAATCATAAATCAGGAAAAGATGACTTCATGAGTATATATTAGAAAGGAAAAACTCAATTTTTTACTCTCTTCTAAATAGTTTGTTATATTGTCAAATGTGATTGATTGAAAGGTGAGCTGATAAAATCCTGAAAAGTATGCTTAATCAAGTTAAATGCTTTAACTCTAGTAATTCAGTTTTTCATTCTAATAACAACATTTTTGTTGTATAATCTGCTTCTTGTTTGGTTTTAATAATCTTGATGTGTCTATACTTTGAGCTATTGGAATACCTTTTCTCAAACTTATCACATTGACCACAAATTACATAAAGTGATTGTTTTTTCCATTTTAGTTTGCTCCTACGTTTTACTTTCTTGAAACCATGTCGATGATTATTTTTGTCATTTTTGAACACTATATAGTTTGTTTCTATGTATTACTGAGAAATGCAATACTGAATACTGACTATTAAAAACACTCCAAAAATCTTTAAAAACTGTATTAACTGCTTTAATTTATAAATTTATTTTACCTATTGTAAATTCTATTAAATATTGAAAGATACAACCATACATAGTCAATTTTTTATGATTATTTTCTTTTAAATTCAAATTTAAATAGAAAAACAAAAACTACTACTCTCATAAGTCATTTTTGAAAGATTTGAAGAAAAGTGTTAAAATACACATTTACCTTTAACAATAGTTCTCTAATAGTATATCCATCTTTTGGAACAACCTTCATCACCTTTACTTCAATTCCACCATAACATCCATAATAATCTGGTATATATGGTTCACATTTCACCTAGAAAAATTTTAAATATTTATTACACATAAATTATTTAATTTCTAAACTAGTTTCAAATAATAAACTCTTCTGTTAAAAGTTATTTTTTGTTCAAAAATAGTAAAAAAACACTGGTTAATGTTTAAAAAAATACAGATCAATATTAACCTTTAATAGTTTGCATTCAAATATATAAATTACTCAGTCACTTTGTAATAAATCCTAATTATTAATCAATTCTACTTCACCAATTCCTTGTAAATAGATGATTTTATTGACTATCGTGAGCAACCTTACATTTCTTCTGCCTGATTGTTGAAATTTTTTCCAATGAAACCTTTACTGGCAGCTTTATAAATAAACATCATTAAACCCAATGTGTTAATAATAAACCAATCACCATAATATGAGATGGTGCCTAACATCTACCTCTAATACCAAATTATTTATTATCTAATTATTAATAGTAAAAAAAAAATAGCCTGATTAATTACAGCAATCATTTGGTTTATTTGCAGCTGCGATGTGAGTGAAACAATCTGATGACATTGCAACCTGATTTATTGCTACAGCTTTCACCAACTTAATTACTGTTTAAGAACTACTAATAGATAAGATTTATTAAACTTTAGGGTCTGTTGGTCTATTTTTCTGGTTTCTGAGTTGTTTTTAATTGGTAAGACATTTTCTTAACAAAAAAGTATCTTAACCATTAGCAGTTTATCAATTGCTATCAATAAACTGTCACAATCAGGTTATAGAGGTAAAATTTAGACATTTTGAAAAAAAAAAAAACTTTATTGACAATTAACTCAACAATGATTTTTACAGTTCAGTCTTGTAGGTAATTACCATCAATCTCAATCACATCTTGTCACCTTTACTACAAACTTTCAATCTCATGAGTATAGAAAAACAGATTTTTCTTTAAAGTTTCAAATGTCATTCTCAAAAGAGTATTGTCATTAAACTGTATATTAGCAATATGGTTCTGTAGGACACAAACTAGATGGTAATCAGTTGGTACCATGTCTAGGATACACACAATCAACCAATACTAGCAAATATGAAACTAATAAATAAAGAATTATTTACTAACATTTTCATCTGTTTAATTCCCCTTAACACCCATTGACGAGATAACTCATCAAGTTTACATAGCGTTACGAAAAACTCGGTCGTTAAGGCCACTTAAAAAAATTTTTTTGATTTCTGAAATGTTTTTTAAGTCTCCAAATTTTTTCAAAAATTTTTACCCACGCAAAAGAATTTTATCGCGATTTTAATCAACCTTTAATGACGCGCGATTAACGCTTAATTGTTTTTTAATGCGATTTTTTTATCAAATTTAATTAATCGTTCTAAAGTTGTAGTGCACGGATTTGACTTCGGTAGAGTTATTTAAAGCTACTTTCTGATGTCAAAAACGACCTCCAATAGTTTTTTAATTTTTTAAATTAATATATTTTATTATATATAAGTTTAATTAAGTCGAGCGGTTGGAAATCGCAATAAAATTTTAATTTTTTAAAAATATTTAAAAATATAGGTGTAGCTAGTATTCACCCTACTTTAAACCCTTCTCCTCCCGAGACGTCTATGAGAATGTCCCGGGAAATACNTGTAATTCAAATGTTATGTATGCTCTGCCTGAAGATGACAATTTGAAATGTCAAAAGTACTTGTTTGTAGTTAAAAACTTTTCAAGTAAACAATTTTAATTCTGAAAGACATTGTAGTTTATTCTTATTCTAAGTTTTATGCCGTTAATGAACAATTTTTAGATACATTGGTTACTGACACTATACTATGACAACAATAATTATTGCTATTTATCAAAATTTATCAATTATTGATATATCAAATGAATCTTGATATCAAGCCCAATATCGGTACAAATATTAAAATTTTGTTTTAAGAAAGCCATACATTATAACTAAATTTCATTAGGAAGTAAACAAGTTGTTGAGAACAATTTTAAAATTAGATCATTCTCCATATAATTACATTTCTTTGAAAAATTACTTTAATGGAGAAACCAAAAAATTTTCTAAAGAACAATTTGTTTGATTTTAGCAATCTTATAAATACAGTTCTTAAGTTATACTATTTCAAGACATAGTCAGTGCATTTGCAATTAATTAACGATATTTAAAAGAAATGAATAAAACAAAATAACAACTTAAGTCTAATTATTAGGAAGGTAATTCTTAATTTGAAAACTTTATGTTTTGTTTTTGCAGTTTTATAAGTGCTGAAATAGAAGATATGATTGTCATAAAGGATCTCTGTTGGAAATAAGCTACCCTTAAATGGGTACAACAAAACTCAGCATTTATGGCTATATTCTGATTCTTGAATGTCTGGAGATCATTTTGAGTTCCAAACCAAACTTAATAGATAATATATTTTAGTCTATGAGATCAAAATGAATCTTTCCTCTAAAAAAATCTAAATTATTAATTAATTATAATTATTAAATTTAATAAGATAGTGCCTAACATCTACCTCTAATACCAAATTATTTATTATCTAATTATTAATAGTAAAAAAAAAATAGCCTGATTAATTACAGCAATCATTTGGTTTATTTGCAGCTGCGATGTGAGTGAAACAATCTGATGACATTGCAACCTGATTTATTGCTACAGCTTTCACCAACTTAATTACTGTTTAAGAACTACTAATAGATAAGATTTATTAAACTTTAGGGTCTGTTGGTCTATTTTTCTGGTTTCTGAGTTGTTTTTAATTGGTAAGACATTTTCTTAACAAAAAAGTATCTTAACCATTAGCAGTTTATCAATTGCTATCAATAAACTGTCACAATCAGGTTATAGAGGTAAAATTTAGACATTTTGAAAAAAAAAAAAACTTTATTGACAATTAACTCAACAATGATTTTTACAGTTCAGTCTTGTAGGTAATTACCATCAATCTCAATCACATCTTGTCACCTTTACTACAAACTTTCAATCTCATGAGTATAGAAAAACAGATTTTTCTTTAAAGTTTCAAATGTCATTCTCAAAAGAGTATTGTCATTAAACTGTATATTAGCAATATGGTTCTGTAGGACACAAACTAGATGGTAATCAGTTGGTACCATGTCTAGGATACACACAATCAACCAATACTAGCAAATATGAAACTAATAAATAAAGAATTATTTACTAACATTTTCATCTGTTTAATTCCCCTTAACACCCATTGACGAGATAACTCATCAAGTTTACATAGCGTTACGAAAAACTCGGTCGTTAAGGCCACTTAAAAAAATTTTTTTGATTTCTGAAATGTTTTTTAAGTCTCCAAATTTTTTCAAAAATTTTTACCCACGCAAAAGAATTTTATCGCGATTTTAATCAACCTTTAATGACGCGCGATTAACGCTTAATTGTTTTTTAATGCGATTTTTTTATCAAATTTAATTAATCGTTCTAAAGTTGTAGTGCACGGATTTGACTTCGGTAGAGTTATTTAAAGCTACTTTCTGATGTCAAAAACGACCTCCAATAGTTTTTTAATTTTTTAAATTAATATATTTTATTATATATAAGTTTAATTAAGTCGAGCGGTTGGAAATCGCAATAAAATTTTAATTTTTTAAAAATATTTAAAAATATAGGTGTAGCTAGTATTCACCCTACTTTAAACCCTTCTCCTCCCGAGACGTCTATGAGAATGTCCCGGGAAATCCGACTCCAGCTGTTCTCAAGGTCATCCAGCTGTGTAAACAATGACTCATCAGTGTCAAATTTCACAGAAAGACAAGAGAAAGGAAAATAAAATTTGAATCTTTTTCTTCAAAATTAACGCATTTCTTTCATTTTTTTCAGTTTTAAGTATTTTTTATGTTTAATTATAAGTAATTAAAAGTTGATCGGAAATGAAGGGGTTAAACTTCTTCATTTGTTTGTCTTTGGGGTTAAAATTATAATTTATTTTATTAGAATAATGATTATTTAAGAAGTTGTGAATAATATTGTAAAGAAACAGATGATTTTAATCCAGAAATTATTTAATTATTCAACTTTTTAACAAGTGATGTAGAATTTACATATATTTCCTTTCACAATAGCTTATCTTAAGGTAGGTTTGCTCTTAAACGGTATTTTTTGCCATCAACAGTGTAATACGTTTGTAAATTTTTTTTAAAAATTAATTTTCCGAGCTGTTCCGAATTTACATAACTCATTACTTTCCTCGATAAAAGTATAAGGTAGGCCTATCGTCCGATCGTATGGAAGGAGACACCACGCTAATTAAAAATAATTATTTAGTGTTATTAAATATTTCATACATACAGTAGAGCGTCGATTATTCGAAAGTCAATTATCCGAAACGTCAATCATCCGAAAGAATTCCAGTCGGCAAATTTAAATTTTTCGCCAGTGCTGTGGCGCTGGAATCTTTGGCTATATCTTGGGCTACTCAGATATTTTACGTTTTTGATACTAAATTAACTTCTGAAGTATAATTTTTTATAGTTTTTATATTTTTCAATATATTTATTTTGTTTGTACAAAATAAAAAAATAATTTTTAACGATACAATAGTCTT